TTTTTTCTTTTTTTAAGACTAAGGAAACTTGGGCATGTTTGAAGGCAACAGGGAAGGAATAAGTAGGTGTAAAGGTTGAAAATTTGGGAGGGGATGACTGAGAATCCAATCAGTTACTCTCTGTTCTGATGTTCCTATGGACTTGTTAACTGTGTAGGGCTGTTTGCCTCTACAATGAATGATTCATGCTGATCTGTTTTGAAGTTTGTGGGTCTCCTGTTGTTTTCTTCCCTTTTCTAATTGGACATTACTAATCTCCTTTGGGTTTTACAAATCCGATAACCAAGTTTGCTAGACTTGCGTGCGTTAAGAGCCAGGAGGCCTGATGAGCTCCAGCGCCTGGCCTGTGTGACAGTTATTTCCGTTGCTCAGTGGGGGGAGGTCTGTCTTATGTACTTTTTGGTTCTTCATTGTGTCCTCAATAGGTGAGATTGCCGGATACCTAGTTTGAATTAGTCATTTGTTGCTTTGGTACTCTTAGTTCTTGAAAAGATCTTTGGTTTTATAGCCCTCTCTACGTCCCACTCACACTCCTTCCATCCTTCAGGGGATGCTAATGATGAGCTCCAGGGACCAGAACCATCATCACTTTGAGACCAGACTTGTGGTGAACCTCTCTTTCCACACTTAGCCTGGTGTGTGGATGAGAGACCCATGTGCTCGGCCACCACCAATAGTATCTTTTTATCCTGTTGACTCCTTTTGTTTCTGAGGTCCCATCATGTCCGGATCTACCCCATCCTTGTTCTACTCTTTCCCTCCTCTCCCAGGATACACATTGAAGCTTCCCTTGTAACAAACAACAGGTAAGCCGAACTAACCCACCCCCAGGGGTCAAGTCTCTTCTGGGAGGAGGAAAGTGTATTTTCATTCCCATTGTTGTAGTCTTTGGGCATATGGTTCTCCTGATTTGACCTGCTTTACTCTGCGTTAGTTCATACAAGTCTTGATTCCTCATGTTAGAGATAGAGCGCTAGAGCGGAGGTCATGAAGACCTGAGTTCACATTTAGGCTCTGACACATCCCCAGGTGAAGGACCTTGGAGAAATCACTTAACCTCTGTTTTGCTCAATTTCCTCATTTGTAACATAGAGAAGATGATAATAGCAACTATCTCTCAGGGTATTTGTGAGGATAAAATGAAATAATGTTTATAAAGCATTATAAAAGCCTTAAAGTGCTGTATAAATGTACTTTAATAATATTATTAGCATACTAATAATAATATTGGGGATCTAAATGGTCCAGTAATATGAAAATAGTAATATCATTAATATAGTAAACAATATTAGTGTATGTTCAGTCATGTCCAACTCTTTGTGACCCCATTTGGAATTTTCTTTGCAGAGATACTGGGGTAGTTTGCCATTTCCTTCTCCAGTTCATTTTACAGATGAGGAAACTGAGGCAAACAGGGTTAAGTGATTTGCCCAGGGTCATACAGCTAGTAAGTGTCTGAGGCCAGATTTGAGTTCAAGAAGATAAGTCTTCTGACTCCAGGTCTGGTACTCTATCCCCTCCGCCACCTAGTAATATATAATAACATTTGGCAGCTAGGTGGTACAACACTTAGCACAGTACCTGGCACACAGTAGGTGCTATATAAATGCTCACTATATTATTGTTATTATTATATGATTATTTTCAGTCATATCTTACAATGAAGTAGTATTGCATTAAATTCCCATAGAACAATTTTTTCAGCTATTCCCCAATTGTTGGGCTTCCCCTTTGTTTTTTTTGCTGCTTTGACTATTTTGGTGTAATATGAATGGGCTCTTTGTATTCTGTTTTTGACTTCTTTGAGATATAGGCCTGCTAGGCCTGCACTTGGAGCCTTTCCAGCCAGACAAGATTTGCCAGAGCTTACACTATGCTAGTTTAGCCTTTGAAAGCCCAATGTCATCTTGACCCATGATGAAATATGGGAGTAGGGTTTTGTGGAGGGAAGGTTCCTTTTATAAGAAACATTCAAGAACTAGTTGGAATATTGAGAGAAAGCAGATATGAAATTGAAGCGGGGGGGAGGTCATCCAGGAAAAAACATTTCCATCATTAAAAAGCATTTATGAAACCCTCTTTCCTGAAAGGAGGTGATTTTCATTCAGCATTAAATCTGAAATGCCAGGATCAGGGGTTGGTGTTGGGACTTAATGCTTGTATGACCTTGGACAAATGACTTCACCCCCTGTGGGCCTCAGAACCCTTACTTGTAAAGTGAATGGGTTGGGCCAAATGACCTCTGACCCCCATTCTAGCTGTAAATCTAGAACCTATGAAGGTATAGCAAACTCTTAAGATATACCTTGATTGTAGAGTCTGTATTTGATGAGATCAGTGGTTTGGTTTGTCCACATCAGAGTCTTTACTGTAAAGATGAGACAGGTATATATACCATTGATAAGTATTATAAAATTAGAAACCATTTGAGCCTTTTTAAAATCACTAGGTATAAGGAGTGCCTGTGTGGTTTAATTAGTGTTAAACATATTGTGTGTATGTGCTTTTTTTAGGCTGCCGGAAACAAGATATAGCATGACCTTTTCCTGTTTTTGTGTGATAATCCAAGAACAAAGAGCTAGGAGTTTTGACAGGGCAGATGTTTCCATGTATGTCACTGAATTGAACCATGTCAGTAGTGAGTGAACCAGTAGGGGAAAGGGGAAGGATGAAGGGAAGAGGGAAAGGAAAAAGCATTTATATAGTACCTACTAGGTGCCAGGCATTGTACTAAGAGTAAGTATTACCTCATTTGATCGTCACAACAACCCTGGGAGGCAGGTGCTATATACAGTAACTTGTCCAGAGTCACACAGGTAGTAAGTACTGAGACCAGAGTTGAAGTCAGGTCTTTTTGACTCCTTATTAGCTACTTTTTTAAAAAAAATTTTTTTAAATTTTTTTTAGGCAGTTGGGGTTAAGTGACTTGCCCAGGGTCACACAGCTAGCAAGCATCAATATGACACTTGTTGAGGCCGGATTTGAACTCAGGTCCTCCTGACTTCAGGGTCGGTGCTCTGTATTAGCCACTTTTTACCTTTGTGGAGATTGGATAATATGATTGATACATTATAGGAATTGAAGATTGACAAGACTATTACTGGATCATAAAGTGTTGTCAACTGATTCTGTATTGCTAGATAGCCTATGTCCTGATCCAATTCTTTTAATAAATTTTATTTGCTTCTTAAAAACTTATTGACTTCTTTGATTTGATTTATTATTTCTTATTCTTATTGACCCATCCCTACATTAAAGGAAATAGTATTCTCTTTGGAGTTATTTGCAAGTGATGTTACATGTGGCTGGAAATTTAACGAGCTCATGGAATTACGTGGATTTTATGGTTGTCTTAGCTGTCCTCACTGACATTTCCACTCATGCAGGTACACTGGGTGGATTAAAATCCTATTGCCCTTAATTGGGAGCTGTGGGGGGATAGTGGTAACAAGGAAGTTCTGTAAATAAATATGGTCCTTCTTGCCCATTCCCTTCTGACAAAGTGTGCCCAGCTGAAGTGATGTCATTAAGTTGGTATTCAACACAGCCAGTGGATCCTTGTGATGCAGGTTAGAAACTAAAAAGTCTGTGGTTTTACCAGGAACTACTGAAGTTACCTATGGGTCTGTTGAGTAAAATTCCTGTTGCCTCTTTTGTTAACTATGATGGGGAAGGGAGGCAGGATGGTATGGCAAGAGGCTTGGATTCAGAGTCAGAGGGCCTCAGTGTGAATGCTAGCTTTGTCATTTATTACTACCTTTGTGGCCCTGGGCAAGTCACTTCACCTCCATTTGCGTTTAAGCCAGTGAATCCGTATTCTCCGGGCTTCAGTTTCCTCATCTGCAAGATGAAGGAAGTGGATCAGATGCCCGCCGAGGTCCTTTGCAACTCGGACCTAGAATTCTGCTGGAATGGAATGATGATTCTAGAGAAAATCAGGAGGAAAATTCAAGTGTGTATGTGTGTGTGTGTGTCTGTATGTGTCTGTGAGTGTGGGGGTGGGTGGTGGTGGTGGTGGTATTTGTTTTCTTCATCCTTTTTTTTTGTAGATAAGGTTGCTTACCCTGTGGTTAGAGCTGATTAATACATTTCCTTTGCAGTTATCTGGATAAGCGTAGTGACTAAATAGAAAAGAAGTCCTTCTTTTTCCTATTGGTGCTGACTAATCTTCCTTCAGAGGAAAGAGGATTTCCTCTAACCTATTTAAAACAAGGGATTAGGGACAATGCCGATCTTCTAGTTTCTCACCTAGATTTTTCGAGAAAGTCTCAGAAGACCAAATAACCTAAATAAAACAGGATGATATCGATAAGATCAGATAATAATCAACCACTAATGTGCAGGCTACATTTTGGGGAAGGAGAGAATAAAAATGGTCAAACTTGGATGTGTTTATATGCAGATGAAATGCTGTGTCTGGGACCAAGATGTTCTGAATTTGTCAAGATATTTCCGTTAATTTCTCACTTTTAAAGGTTTATCTGAAATATTTTAGTTTTTGAATCAGATAAATACCTATAGTTAGTTCTTTGATACTTAGAAAAATTTATATCCCAAGAAAGAATCCCCATGTCATGTACCAAAATTACTATTTGTGTCCCTTTTTTTGCTTCATAACGTAGGGGTTATTATAATTATTTGTTGATATCAGTTTGGGAGAATGATATAATGTGATGTTATATAAAGAATGATGGATTTGAAGTGAGAGTGCCTGAATTCACATCCCTTTAATGTCCTTTACTATGTGTCGCTTAACCCTCCCGGGGCTTCAGTTTCATTATCTTTCAAAGGGAGGATTGGACAAGATGATGTCTAAGGTTTGTTTCAGCTCTGAACCTATGATTTGTTGATCTTGTGAACATATCTGGAATGCTGGAAAGCTCTTAGGAGAGGATGGAGTCTCTTCTTTATGATGGGGAAGCTAGATTCTCTTGTGACTTGATTTGACCTAATTCCTTCCATGTATAAAAAATGGTAATCAACATGTTTACAACCTTTAGGCTTGAAGGAAGTAACGTGAAGATCAGTGCGACCTTTATCAGTGCCCGAATATAATTTACAAGAATATTTGTTTGAACATGGAGAAAAACATCTGTTTTTGGAGATGGATACTCCGATTGGTATGTGACAATAATTGAAGATTGCCATGATTATTCCTGGGCCATAAAGTGTTGTCAGCTTTGATTCCATATTCCTAGGTGAGGCTGAATGGAAAAGTAGTTTAAATGAATCCTCTCAGAAGTTAACACCAATCATTGTTCATTCTGACACTTATGAAAAGGCTTAAAGAGAGCCACTATATCCTGGCAGCTGCTTATTTAAAGTAATGCTTAGTTACAGTGTCCTAAAGAACTCTGCTAGCTGTTGGATCTAGAGCTTATGGGAAGACTAATTAATTAGTGTTAGCCTGGAAGATAGCTATTAAATCCACAGACTGTGAAACTGTTGCATTTTTATGAAGTTACTCTCTACATATAGCCTTTACCTTATTCATCTATCTCTCAGAATATAAACATTAGCTTGGAGAACAACACAGAAGATGCTCACCCTTCTCGTCGTGTATAAAATGAGGGCGTTGGATAAGATGCCTTCTGAGGTTCCTTCCAATTCTACATCTTATATCCTATGATCTCCACAATTAGTAATGAGTCTTTTCCTGTGTGTTAAAATATAATCAATTTCATTTTTTGGTAGTATTATTTTTCACTAGCCATGACCAGAGTTTTACCCATTCTTTTCTTTAAGGAAGTATTCATTATGTAAAGGTGTGAGGCGTCTTTGTAGTCTGTGAGTCTTTGTCTTATCATTCCTTTTTTCTGACCCACAGCTTCTACTACCAGTCTCACCATCCTCACCTAGCTCCACATTTGCATTGAAGTCACCAAGTATCAAAGTATGTGTTGATTTAATTAGGACGGTCTTGGCTGAGCTCTTCATAGGTTTTTTCTACCTCTTCTTTTGCAGTTGATGGTGGTGTGTGAACTGAAATTCTGTTCACAGTGGCCTTTTTGCAAATTAGCACTGCAGTATAAGCTGGCCAAGTGTCTGCCTCTCCAAGGAGGATCATTCTTTAGCAGCAACTTCCTTCTTTCTTCTACTTTTGTTTCTATCAAGAATGTCAAAATTGATATGATTTAGCTTCTCTGGTATTGTGCTCATTTGTTAGTCATTGGAAAATTATTTCCCTTTTAGATTATTAACAACTAAGGTAAAGTTTATTAGGTGGTCTAAAAACTGTGTGCTTCTAAACATGTTTTGCCCCCTTGTCCACCACTGCCACTGTTCTTGCACAAGTATAAAGGGGCTACATAGAAGCAAGGGCCATTTTTTACTTTTCATCATTTCAGAAGTTGTCATGGCCAAAGAATTCATTGTCTGGCCAGCCAGGTGATGTACCTTTCTGTACTTAGGTGAGCTGAAGAAGAACAAGAGTATAAGAAGTCATGAGGGAAGTGAAGTGTATGCTAGGAAGAGAAGATAGATTGAACGTGCAGAAAAGGCAGGCGATGACAGGTGGACAGCCTGATTGCACCATTAGTATCCTCCCGAAGTTCAGCAAAAGTAAGAAAGGCTTCCAGCACAATCAATAGATGTTGCTGCTTCCCTCTCCTCCAACCCCATGGCAAATATGGGAGGACATTGATAAGAGTTGCATCGGTTCTCTTGGCATGGATTGATTTCAGTCTGCATTATTGAAGAGAACATTTTGGTTGGTGGGATCACAGATCATTTGGATCTTTGAGATTATGCTAGGCTAAAATTTTATGCATACAAATATTTGAACCCTTTAATTACTGGAATTTCCTTAGATCACTGATCTAAGTTATTTTTTTTAAACTTAGAATAAAAATACTGTTCCTCAAATTATTACAGTTTCTTAAGGTCAGTAACCTTCCTGAGACAGTCTCAGGAGCACCTGTATTTAATTTTAATTTTTTACAAAAAGTCTTTTTAAAAAAGCACATTGCATTATTAATGAAAGGAACTTTAATAGGGTCATGAGAAGGTTTATTTAAACCCAGGTACTAATTAAATTTTAATGAAGCATGTGCTAAGGTAGAAATTGTATTTCTATCACTAGTAGTGTCTCTACTATCAAAAAATATTAAACACCTTAATCCCAATATATTTGAGCTTTTTGTTTTGGCTAGTAAATGCCTACCTGAGAGTGATTAGTTTGATTACACTCTTGAAATAAAATTGGTATTTGACTGTGACCTAAGAAAATAATGATATTCTTTATTAGGACATAGAAGTTCATATCCAATATAGTGTGATTTTACATTAAAAGGATTATTTGATTGTGTGTTTTAACGTGGCATGAATATCTCTTATTTGTGTTTCTTAAAAAAATAATAAATTTTATGTTCAAAATTACAAGTAAAAATCCATTGAGACTATTAATTGAATTAGTTTCCCATTTTCAGTTAATTTTAAAATAATTGAAAATGATGTAATGAAAAATATTTATGAACAGTGGCATAAAGAGTTAAAAATCTTATTTGATATCTTTTTGCAAAATAATTTTATAGTAGTAATTTTCAGTTATTTTTACTTTTAAGAGCTTCAGTGTTCCTCTTGAGTAATAGTGATTTATCTTTGATTTGTTCACAATTTTTTTCTATAGGTTTTTAAAGGAAGATATGCTTTAAAAAGCTATTTAAGTACCTATTTAAATTTCTTTTAGTTAATAAAATGAGTGAATCTTAATTATAAAAGAGAAAATTGAAAAATTACCTCTTTGGTAAATAGTGTGGATAATAAATAGTCATAATTATAGTAATAAGTTGACCAGATGGCCTAATTTGGCAGGAAATCTCTTGTGTTGACAGTGGGGTGAGGAAGAAAGTAAACAAATGAGGACTGTGGTATTAATCTCAGTGTCCCTATAGATTTTATTAGGTGTTAAAGTGCATCGATTTTAGGGTTCGCATTTATTTTGTCTTCCACTTCATAAAAGCAAATTTTACAAACCTTTTTTCCTATGATAATGTGGATCACCCTCCCCATAACAGAATCATAGTTTTTCAGAGCTATAAGGAACCCTAGAGATCATGTACTCTAGAGCACAGCTCTGGAACTTGATGGCCTGTGTTTAGAGGTAAAATGAACTGGAATTCAAATTCAGGTCTTCTGACTGCCGTCTACTGACTCCCCCAAGTTACCTTGTGGAACATAGCTGGATGTGATGTTTGCTATACTTGATATACATGAGGGCCATGACCCTGCTAGGGCTTTGGGAATTCTAGAAGCATAGATTCAGAGCTGGAAGGGCCCTTGGAGATCTTCACTCTTGAGATCCCAGGAAGCTTAAGTGACTTGTGCAGGAGGTGGCAGGTGGAAGAGTAGAATGTATATCCTCAGACAGCACCATCCCACTCGGGGAACATGCATCACCCCAGCTGGAATTCCTCCAGTTTTTTATATTTACGCAATCTTCCTATCTCTTTCTGGGGTTGTGTTAGTAAAATAAATTCCTGCAGATAACCTTGCCATGATAGATACTGAGAATTGGTTAAAGTCAATGAAGTTCAAGTAAGGTATTAGACATGAATAAAAGGTGTGACCACATAGAAATGAAATTTGTGCTGTAAACTACAAATAAAAATCAGTTTCATTACTCTGTAACCATTATCTCACACTCACAAATCTGCTATAATTTGACAGACATACCATGTGGCATTTGTGCCTGTTAATGGACACTATTACATAACTGCTGGTTCATGTAGGTATTAAAAAAAATAACAACAAAAGCCAATAACAGCACTTAAAACTGGCATTGACAGTTTAGAAAGGAAAATAAACTAAGTAGAAAGAATATTAAATTACATTTATATGTGTGCCCCACACTGGAGGACCCCATTTGTCTGTACAGGAGCATCAAGCTTTAATTATGACACTTTGTGCAATTAAGAGGGAGAGGTGATGGAGGGATTTGAAAGGGAAGTACTGATATCATTTTGAGAAAAGTCACCATGAGGCCATGTCCCTGGAAAAAGTCCCCATAGTCACTTGGGATCTGTGACTTCATGGTTTTTGTTATTTAAACCTTAAGTGTTTATTATCTTCTCTCACGCAGCATCACTAGTTTTACCCCTTTAGGTCTAGGCTCATATACAAACTCCTCTGTCATTTAAAGCATTTACAACCTGACTTCAGCTTAGCTTTCTATTTCTACACATCTTCAGTATGGAGGGTGGGCCAGCAGATAGAAACAGTTAAAAAGGGTAATATTCTCAGCCAAAAAATAGATTCTTTATGTTATTTAACAGATGCTGAATATAATACTATTGATAGATTTTTTAAAAATTTTAACTTTTTTAAAGGCTACTGAGTTCAGCAATTAAGAATATATTGAGTGCTTCTATTTGCCTAGCATTGTACTAGGCTCTGTGGAGACCCCTCTGAGCCATTCTTTAATTGCTAGACTGATATTTCTCAAAGCACAGCTCTGACTCTCTCATTCTCTTGCTCAAACAGCTTTTCTAGAAGAAGATAGAAACGTCTTGGCCATTTAAAGCACATCATCACAACCTGGCCTGAGCCTACCTGTTCAGGATTCATCACGCTTTGCTCCCCCTGCACTTTGCTCTCTGTGCGGTCTGGCTGTGATGGCTGGTTGGCTGTTGCTCACAGGCTACATTCCATCCATTTTAATGGTACCTTTGCCCAGCCTAGAGATTTCCTGTAGCAGGTAGGACTTGACCTTTGCAGGACAGGCAGGGAACTGCATGAGCACAGATTTTGAGTGACAGTGAGAATAGTTTAGGGAATAGTGGAGAGACTGGTCTGATAACAGTTGGGCTTGAGTAGGTCGTTAGAACCCCTCTAGGCTTCACTGGGCAACAGTATGATGAAGAATTCATCCAATCTGTTGTCTTCATGGTCTAGTGGGACAAGATGGCCTCTGAAATGCTTTCTGGCTCTGTCGCTATGATCTTATGATTCCATGAAGGGAGATAAGAATGATACAGTGAAAAGACCATGGGGTTTGGAGTCCGAGGATCTGGGTTCAAATCCTTGAGCCACCACTTACTTACCTGTGTGGCCTCAGGTTATAGTTAACCTTAAAGGTTAAGTCACCTAACCTTTCTTGGCCTTTGTTCCTCATTTGGAGTTG